GATGCATTAAAAATCTACAGAAAGGCATTAAAAAATTACCAATAATGCTACAAAAAAATGATTCTTAAACATAAAAATGCTATTAAAATGTGACCTTATAATATAAAATTCTAACACATATGCGTAAAAATGATAACGATAAGCTTACTAATTTTTTTGTTTAGGCATTTTAATGTTCAATATGTGTACGAGTATAACTACACAGGGTATCCTACAGTGTTATCTCTACGCTAATAATTCTGTTTAATTGATTTTTTTTTTTTACATTTTTTTGCTTCAATCGGGTTTTATGCTAGGGAGACAAATGTATTGAAAATTTGAATTTTTTTTTCACCGCTTAATTTTGTAAAAAAAAATAACTTTATTTTATCACTTCAAAATATTTAAAGTAACCATTTTGTAAAATGTATTATTTTAAAAATTTTAATATTTCATACATTCATATCAGATTAATAGTAATATTATTTATAGTTGCTTTAATGTATAGAAAATAACTATATTACTATATAACAGCTATATTACTAAGAAACTAATAATCGGATAAAATTGGTTAAATTAGAGCAGTCTTCATTATATATTATTTATTTCAAATATACAGACAGCGAGTCTTATTAAAATGTAGCAATGTATATTTCAATTATATAATAAATTATGAATATATTTATAACTAAAAGGTAAAAAAAACATAACCATATAAAATAATGGATACAAATAAACACGAACAATTGTAATTTATTTTATAGTTACAAATTTAAAACAAATAAATCGTATCGCGATTTCTGAAAATAATTCTCCACAACACGTGTGGTACGTATTTACGGTTATTAGCACGAGAACAATAATATTGACGGTTAAAAAAAAGTGTTATGAAATAAAATTAACTACGTTTTTATTATGCATACTAAAAAAAAAAAATACCCATGATCCTTGGCAGATTAAAAATTTGACACTCGTTTATTTACAAGTAAAATGGGATTTTTATCGCTGTATGGTATAATTAATATAGAACAACAAATATTATATGATAATAATTATATTTATATTATATTCGATAGTTATCGAAATCACTTGCATTTTTCTAAAGAAAAACTTTTAATCATCACTTATTTTATTGGTTTAGAAGTAATAATAAAACAGTTGATAGTGTTCATGGGTAGGACATTATTGCATCTGAATAGTTAAGATTATATATACAAGATAGTTCTCTTTATATACTGTATGCAAAGACAAATAATTACAAATTAAAACCGATTCTAAGTGAAGTAATATTAGTAGTGTTTTTTCCCCTCATTACCAAAGAATATTTACAGTAAATACTTTTTTGGCACTTACGGTCATTTTTTTTCCTACGATCTAGTTTAAATTACCGTGTTAATAATAATATTAATAATATTTTTTTTTAGATATGTTCATATGTTCTAAATTGGAAGACTTATTATTTTATCGAAATGTTTTGAACATGAAAGGAAAAATACGGGAACAATTTTACACGGATATCGACAATACAATTAACAAAATATTAAAATCATATGAAAATGACAGAGACCTCAAAAAATTCATAAAAATAGTTTCTTTAGCTTAAAATAAACCATAAAAGAAATACTGACAACTTAAAAAAATTGAAAGAAAATGTATAGTAATTAATAATTATAATATTTAATAGGAATAACAATTAAATAATTGTTAATAATTTGTTATATGCATATTGTTAAAACACATTCTAAAAAAAACTCTTGAATATATATATTCATGTAGGAAGGAAGTTTCATTTTAGTTATTATTACATTACATATTATTTACAATTATTATTTTTAATGTGTATGTGGACATCATAAACTTAAATAGTAAATAAAAGAAAAACAGAGTGACCGCAAACGTCATCAGAGGTAGTGACCACACTTGTGCCGACACCTTGCAAAAGTAAGCGCTGCAGAAATCAACAACAATAAGGATGGAAGGAGCAAACTGCTGCAAATTTTGATTAATGTTTTTAATAAACTACAATCAATTGAAAAATCCGCATCCTAAGATGGTATGATTTGAAAAGTAAAAAGTTTACTTAATTTATATATATGGAAGCAACGATAAACTACTCGTATTACTGAAAGACGATTCTGGGCGGAGCTCGGTTAGGTATTGCGTTTTCAAAACAAAACCAAAAAACGACCAATACCATTGAAAACAAGATCAAAAATGTAACAAAAAAGGTATCTTGTTTCTTTTAAATTGGAACCATATTTGTGATAGAAAAAGTGGTAGGTACTTATTTAAAATAACGAAATCGTGAAAAATAATATGTTTTTTCCGATAAATCGCTTTTATTTTGAATACCGCTTCGAAAACCAAAAAACTGACTTCTGTAATTACCAAGAAGATAAAATTACCTTTCAGAAAAAATGAACACTTATATATCGAAGTAAGTTTTCTAACAAAAAAATGTTTAGTCTGAAAAAAAATTATGAAAAATGCAACAAAAACAAAAAAGGCCTTATCATTTTTCTAATTAAGCACGTTTTCTGATAGAAAACGTCATCTGTATTTATTTATTATGATGAAATCGTGAAATTGTACGTTTTTTCCCACTGAAGTGCTATTATTTCGAAAATAGCATCAAAAATCAATAAATGACCCTGAAGTACAAACTACTAGTTTAATACTTTTGAAAAAATTACTATGAAAAAAGACATCATAGGATAATGTGAACGGGTGCAGCCATTGTTATAGGTAATTTAATATAAACCTGTAAGCAACGATAACCATTACTAACGAAAAAGACGATTCTGAACGAAGTTCAGTTGATAGTGATGCATTTTCAACAATATATTTGTCATATTATGGTAAAATGATTAAGTAGTCATTATATATTTTCTTTAATAATATTTGATAAATGTACCGATTTTCCCTTGTTGTTTCCCAGTTGTTCACATTTGTTGGGAAAACTCCTGGGAAAATCAAAAAATTGATTTCTTTTCAGAAAAGGTGCTACACTTAAAAATCGGAAAATATTTCTGATAAAAAATTTGTTCGCAGGATAAAAAGGCCGAAATATTTTTCAACATACCTACATTTCGTATATTTTCCAGTTTTTTAAACAAATCCTGGAAAAATTTAAAAAAATGACCTCTTCTACAGTAACTTCCCAATCAGATTTCCGTTCAGAAAATATGTTATAATTGTAAATCGTAATAAAATTGCTGGTAGAAAAGTAGTTCACAGAAAGAAAAAGGCCGTACTATTTTAGTATACATTCGTACATTCCTAGTTTTTCCCGTGTTTTTCCCATTTTCCGGAAAAATCCATGAAAAATAAAAATATAACCGCTTTAAAGTACCACCCCAGTTAGTATTTCTTTCAGAAAAAGTGCTACACTTGTAAATCGGAGCAAGTTTTTTGATAAAAAAGTTGTTCACAGTTATTACAGTTTATAATTTAGATGTTGGACTAAAGAAGGGTCATACATAAGCAATTTATAACTATTATAACTCATAAACAGTAAATATGATATTAGTGGTATTGCATATCAAAATGTCTAGAAAAATTTTCTCTAGTCAAATCTGTGTTCAAAAGGGGGCGTTCCTATTTGAAAATCAAAATTATGCACTTATTTAAGTTATATGGAGTATGGATAAAATGGTTTTAAAATATAGCTTAACGGATTCCATAACAATTAGAAATAACAGAAACCAAATTCACTTAAAATCCTCTGAGATAATTGCTGGTACATGATAAAAAAAATCACCCTGTATACTACTTGACAAAGTTATTTTAAGCCTGATTATAATTTCAAAGTATTATTTCTCTATTATTTTTATACATTTTTGTACCCTCTGCTTATAAGTAATATTTTTGAGTGTTTTCATATTGAAGATATTATATTATTAATGAATATTATAGTAAAAATATATAATTATGTTATTTATTTGTTGTGAGTTTAGCCCAAATGAAAAGTACAATTTCATAAGTAATAACAGAAAAAAGATAGAATATAACATTTTACTATTTTTGCAATAATAAGAATGAATATAATAACATAAATAATTTAAAAAATTACCTAATCAGAAAACTAAGCAGGTCATATAAATTTGAGTCAGTTATGGTAGTAGAAATAGTACTTAGTCTCTAATTGCAGTGGGAGGTCTATCAAATTGCAATTTATAGATGTACACAAAATTCAGCTAAATGTCTCAAATAATAGTTACACAATAAAATCATTTGTTACATTAAGCTCTTTGTTTTGTAAATATTTATTATATCCATTATTTCAGCAATCAGTTTAGATTTCCAAATTGTTTATATCACCTATACTGTAAATAAAAATAGTATGTACCTTTTAAATAGTATTCCAATGTTATTCTTGTTGGGCATACTATATCAATACTTCTAAATTAAAAACATTAGTTGCTTTTTATATTTTTCAATTTAATCTATTATTTAAATAAATCTTAATATACCTTGTGTATGGTTTAAGCCTATACAAAATCTATAGTACCTACCTACTATAGAGTACACAGTGATTAAATATTTTTAAATAATTAAGTAATAAAATAAAAACAAAATTATTAAAATGGTTAATACTTGTAAATAAATATTTATAAATAAATAAAAATGAATTATAACTGTTATAAAGATATGATAAATTATTTCAATACAAGTCAGTATTGTAAAATATATTTATTCATTTTAATTGTACTTAATGTCATGATTCTATGTATTATAGAAATAATAATGATAAAAGGAACTTTATAATTATTTGAATTCACAATCTTACTGTCATGATATCTACAGGCTGTCTCCATGAAAATAATGCAAATGCAATAACTTTGATTCCTATGCAATATTTTTCATTTTCTTTGTATGATTAGTAAAGCCTTGCAGTATAATTACCCTGTATTAGATATTTTTTAAAACTAAGAATAAAAACTTGAAATTATTAAACAATTTTTTTACAAAATTTATGACAGCAATTGTTTTTTTTTTTATTTTATTTTGAAATATTACANGTTCCGCTTGAGTCGTCTAGTTGGATTTCCGGGTAGTGCTGGTGTAGCAAGGTCCCTGATGAGCTGGTTGGGGTTGGAATATAATTTTTGCGTGGAAGCGTTTGTAATATATAGTGGCAGTTTCGTTGACAGAGCAGATTCTTAAGTCAGAGTTTATTGCATTGTTGGAGATATACCAGGGTGCTCCAGTTATTATACGACAGCAGATATTCTGGAAGGCTTGGATAGTTCTCTTATTTGATTTTTTAGCAGAACCCCAGATTACTACCCCGTACAACCAGAGTGGTTGTAGAAGAGTTTTATATAATATGAGTTTAAGNGTGGCCTTAGTAGGTGAAGTCTTGAGTTTAGCTTTTTGCATTTGGTTTTTAGATGAGATGACCATGTTAAGCGTCTGTCGAATATTAAGCGGAGGTATTTCACTTCATTTGAGTGAGGAATGATGGTGTTATTTATTGATATAGGAGGGCAGTTATGGGGCCTGAGTGCAAATGTGATGAAGGAAGACTTTGATTAGTTGATTTTAATTTTCCATTTAGTGAACCATTGAGAAGGAGTATCAATGTGTAATTGTAGTTGAAGGCTTGCAGTGATATGATCAGCAGCTGTAGATTATGTATAGAAAGGGTGCTATGTCACTGCCTTGCGGGACCCCAGCAGCAATGGGGAATTGTTTTGAATGTTGAAGGTTGTGGCGAACCTTGAATGTGCGGTTGTCCAAGTACGATTTTAAGAAGAGATAGTAAGGGTCAGGAAATAAAGTTTTTAATTTGAAGAGTAATCCCTCGTGCCAGACAGTGTCGAAAGCTTTGGCAACATCCAAGAATACTCTAGCGCAGTATTTTTTTGTTTCCAAAGCAGTCGAGATTGTGTCGGCGACTCAGTGTAGCTGGTGGGTTGTAGAATGGTTTGCACGAAAACCAAATTGGAAGTTAGGCAAGTTTTTGTATTCATTGGTTATGACAGAGAGACGCTTTAGTAAAATTTTTTCCAGAACTTTTCCAAGAACTGGTAGAAGACTAATGGGTCTGTATGAGGATGGGTTTTCTGGTGGTTTGCCAGGTTTAAGTATTGTTACGATAACTGAGGATTTCCAAGTTGTTGGAAAATAGGAAAGTCGGAGGGTAGCGTAGTATATATGAGATGAATTATTGTTTTAGCCAGCAGGTTTTTGATTACTTTGTTGGTTATAAGATCGTGGTCAGGAGATTTCCTGTTGGCCAATTTTTTTATTATTCCTCTTATTTCAGCTGATGAGGTAGGTTTAGCATGTAGGGCCATAGGTAGTGGAGAGAGGAGTGACTCTGTGACCATTTCAAGATGTAGAGGTGGTGGTGAGATTGAGTGTTGTATGAATACTGTTGATAGTTCATTCGCTAGTGTATCTGATTTTTCACTGTCGGTAACTGCTAAGGTGTTATTTGGTCGTTGAAGAGGTGTTATAATTTCCTTTAATCGAAGAATTGATTTTGTTTTGTACCACAGTGAGCCATTTTTAAGTGATAGATTTTGTAGATAAGTTTTGTAGGAGTAATTTTTGTGTATTTTTAGAAGAGATTTAAGTTTATTTGAAAGCATGTTGTACCTTGATTTGTCGTCTGGGTAGCGAGTTCGTTGCCAAATCGATATTGCTCTGGNCACTGTCGGTAACTGCTAAGGTGTTATTTGGTCGTTGAAGAAGTGGTGTAATTTCCTTTAATCGAAGAATTGATTTTGTTTTGCACCACAGTGAGCCATTTTTAAGTGATAGATTTTGTAGATAAGTTCTGTAGGAGTAATTTTTATGTATTTTTAGAAGAGATTTAAGTTTATTTGGAAGCATGTTGTACCTTGACTTGTTATCTGGGTAGTGAGTTCGTTGCCAAATCGATCTTGCTCTACGTTTGTCAGCTAGGAGTTTTCTAAGGTCTGGGGTTAGATTGGATGATTGATTGTTGCTTGGTCTCATGGTTGATGAATCTTTGGCTGCAACTTGTATATCGTTGGTAAGCTTATTTATTGCACTATCAATGTTAGAAGGGGATTTTAACTAAATATTAAGTATTGTTTTTTTTTGAAAGTATGTCTCTGAATTTATTCCAGTTTGTAAATCCAGGAGTGATGGTTGGTCGATTTAGTTTCATTAGAGGTTGTGCTCCTAAANGTCTGGGTAGCGAGTTCGTTGCCAAATCGATATTGCTCTGGGTTTGTCAGCTAGGAGTTTTCTAAGCTCTGGGGATAGATTGGATGATGGATTGTTGCTTGGTATCATGGTTGATGAATCTTTGGCTGCAACTTGTATATCGGTGGTAAGCTTATTTATTGAACTATCAATGTTAGAAGGGGATTTAAACTTAATATTAAGTATTGTTTTTTTTGAAAGTATGTCTCTGAATTTATTCCAGTTTGTAAATCCAGGAGTGATGGTTGGTCGATTTGGTTTCATTAGAGGTTGTGCTCCTAAATGTAGTAGAACTGGAGTATGGTCTGATGCTGGGTCATTAAGATTTGTGGCGTTTGCTGTGAAACGATTGGGTAAGTTGGTAATGAAGAAGTCGATTGTATCTGGATGACAGTTGTCATGGGACGGCCAATAAGTCGGAGAGGTTGGCATGATAGAAATTTTATAAAAATATTTTTAAACAGAATTTTGGTGTTTCATTTACTAATGATGAATCATAAGTTTCTAGAATTTTTTAAAATTTTTAGTGATTTAAATTATTTTCATTGTCACTACTAAATGAGTTCTATCATTACAAATTAGTCTATAAAAAAAATTGTAAATATTTGTAACACCATAATTATGTTTCAAAATCACTGTCTTGGTTTTTAAAAAACAATTTTTTATTCTTAATGTTAAAATATATAAAATAAATTAATCATAGCTTAGTTAGTTAGCAAAAAAAAAAAAAATAATAATAATAAACATATTAAACCAAACTAAAGTTATTGCATTTGCCAAATCTTTGTGGAACACCTTGTATAATTGGTTTTGGAGTTACTATTACAGTTCGCATATAAAAGAACCAATTGCTCATATATTATATTATTTTTTTCTAAGTGTGATTTTAAATATTCAGTATAGGTACAAAATATTTGTCTTATACAGTAATATCTAATTCCAGCTCTCTGTCATTTTGTGATTGGTGAGGTATATTTATGCATACCAGTAATTTAACAGAAATAAATATAATGAAATAGCAATATTATACAAAATTATTGTGTGGTCTGAAAAAATTTTAATTATGCAATTTTTTCACATTAAGACTGAGTATTTGGTTTTTATATTGTATTGATCATAACAGTTGCAACTTACACTAATAAATCTGGATAGATCAATGGGTACAGTTTGAGAAAGACAGAGATCACTAGCTATCATATAAATAACTATAATAATTGCATTACTTGCTGATCTGTTCTACAGTTATTTTTCATTATCTTCTCTGGTTATCTATAAAATAAGATCTTAAATGTTTAATTATTCAAATACAAAACTGATGCTTTTCATTGAAAAAAATAATAATTTTTTATTGGCTAATTTTGAGAATGTTTTGGGGAGTATAGAAATTTTAGATTTTGGAGATAAAATAAACAAAATATTTCTTCTAAAATAATGCAGAAACTCCATCAAGACCAATAGATATATTTAAGTTAAAAACCTCTAATAAATTAATATTTACAGTATGTCATGAAAGAAAAGAGTTATTTAGATATTTAATATGTAAATGTTTTTACTAATGTGGTTTATGGACATTTTAAAAATAAAGCTTACATAAATTTACAATATCATAACTAGTATTAAACTCTTTATCATAGTATAAAATGAATGCAAGTATAGTCTGTATTAAATAAGAGTACACAAATTTTCGTGCAGTCTTTAATTGGTACAGATGATAAATATGATAATGATTTTGAAATTTATAAAACTTCCAAAAATATTTGGGATAGACATTAACAGAACACAAGATGTTATTAATATAAACGTTATAATCACGACATCTTATGTATTATTACATTTATTATAAAGAAAATACAATTTTGAATAAAATTTGGTGTTATTTAAATTTAAAAAAAAAAAAAATTACCATTTTGTTTTTGTTTGATTAATAATCTAATCTTAGCTCATTATTGAGCCATAAAAGGAGGTTTAATTTATTTCTACAAATTTTATATTTTACTCGGAAAATGTGATTTTGAGATTATTGAATTTAATTACCTATTTAAAAAAAAAAATTATGCATCATGTAAAACCATTTTCACTCTTATCGAATAATTATTTTTTTCATAAAATCATATATTATTATATTAGGTAATTTAAGAAAAAAATCTAATTCCATTTGTTTGACAGCATAGGAAAATTGTCCTCTCCATTACTTGAAATAAAATATAATTGTTAAATTTATTAATTTTACCACCATATTTGTAAATTTTTAATTCGTTTTGACGTTTTTTGAGATTCTCCTGAAAAGTTAAAACTTTCAATTTACGACCTTTACGAATTAGATTGCCAATATTTATTGAATGATAAATGTGAGAAGAGAAAATATTAATATTATTATTGATATCAGAATTAAAAAGACAACCAATTAATAGAACCTAAATAGTTAATAATAGATATATAGTGACTAAATTTCCAAATAAAAAACAGATTTTAAATGTACAAAAGATTTATAAATTTATGATACATCAACTAAAGGACAAATGAAATTGACAGGAATTTTACACATACTTTTTGTAACATTAACAGATAAAGAGTTTGATAAAATATAATCCAGAAGAACATTATTTTTATTAGACATAATTATATGAAAAATCAAAATATGAATTAAATGTGAAAAAGTAGATGATGGGGTAAATGAAAATTGCCTAATAATATAAAATCTGTGTTTAGATATTTATTATAGATTACTTTGACAAAATCAAAATACATATTCTGTGAAAACCATTTCATAATAGTGATTAAGAATATAAATGAAACTTATAATAAGACTAATTTGAGGTAATCTAATCAGAATGCAATTGTAATGCAATTAAAACTGCATTACAATTGTTATTTATCAGTATAGGTTTAGATAAGATAGTATTATGTAAAGCAATAAGAACACCATCACCTTTAAAAAGTGTACTTGCTTCAAATGTTTATCATACCTGTAAACATTATATCTATGAAAACCTAGTTCGGATGATTCAATATTGTTTGATAACCATAGTTCTGTAAAAACAACTATATTATGTAAAGAATTTGAAATTTGAGTTCTTAAATTATTAATTTTATTATTTAATCTATGTAGATAAGTACCTACATATTATACGTACCAGTTCATAAATACATATTAGTCTTCTTTTCACTCAAAGTTATGACTTGTTGCTGCAAATCTGAATTTTCACTGGTCTGTTCCATAGATCACCACAGAGGCATACTGGATGTCCATCACTTCGCCTATAAATAACTTCTACAATCATAATATTCCTTACATTTATTTAATACATATTAAGTTATGTAGTTTATTTAAATTGTTCAACTTTTCCTACCTTGAATTCCTAATATATATTCATATATTATTATAATATAGTTTGTATAATAATTGTGGTTATTAAATATTTATACTTGAACATCTCATTATACTAATGGTATTTCCAACTGTAAGAATTTGAATTCATCATAGGGTTATTCTAAAAAATATTTATATTGAAATTATATTCGATATATTCATTTTCATAAGTTAATAGTATTACGTGCATTGTCATTAGTTTATACCAATATTTTTCAATATCTTGCTTCGATTACGATTTCCTCTATAACCTCTACAGATTTCAGATTTTTCAATAATTTGGGCCACATATTTTAAACAATGTCATTAAGTTAGCAATATTATTGTTTGAAAAAAAACAGAGTGTCAAATTCGAATTGTATTAGCGCAGTATCACAGTATCAAAATTATTTTAGATTCTTAATCAAGGTACAAAAATGTAGCATTCCCTATAGACAGTTACAGTGAACATATAAAAAAATTGTACGTACCCACATTGGTTTTTGCATTTATTATTTGACAAAAATTAGGTATTTTTATTGAGGTATAGTTCCACTAGTTCCAAACAAATTTTTATCAAACGATACGAGTAAACTTGTTTCTTATCAGGTAAGACGATTAGGCGAGTTTCTCATCAGTAAATATCAATTTAAAAATAAACGTTTGTTTTAAAGTTTGACTATTTAAGTTCAATAAAATGTTCTGTTTCTATTATGGTTTAAAATAAGCTGTTTGTTTTATAATTACAAGTATAAAGTCCGATAGCTTACGACCAAAGCATCCACTTACAAGTTTGAAACCTTGATTGATGTAGTAGTATAATGCCAACAGTGATTTAAAAGTAATAACAACGAGTTATGACTTGTTACTAATATATTATATCACTCAAATAATGAAATCAAATCAGCATTAATTAGTATTTATACAGATATCATGACAAAATGTTACGTGTGTGAAGTTAGGGGACCAAAGCTAGGAGATTGTTTTGATAAGAAACAATGAAATAGCGTTGTTGTTGCCTATACCACAGAAATTAAAGAAGTGATAATCTACAAAGCAAAAGCAATGAATATTATTACATTTAAACACTAGATGGCATAAGTGTGCTTTGTTCGTGTGTTAGTAATAGTTAAACTCAGCTATTCTAATAAAACAAGTTTGATTATCTGCGTATTACAATTACATAATATGCTATAAAAAAAACTAGTCATATGTGTACATCTCTGTGCTATAAGCGATCGACTGCCGCCGGAGAATACTGGGAAACATATTCCTAAAATAGTTGGTAACATGTTTATATTAAACCCTGAAGCTGCTTACACACGGAGTGATTCAACCGCCAGCGGTCGTGGTCGGGCGGTTTGAATAGATAAGAAACCGCTACCACTGGTGGCTTACACACAGAACTGTTTTCCTTGATAAGACTGCCTTGTAGTTTTTTATTTATTTTAGAAATAAATAGAGTTTCTGTCTTTTTATTTTTTTCGGTGCCCATATAATTTATATATTATATACATTGGTATAATATACAGTTTATGTTAAGAACATAAAATGAACGGGATTATAGATGATGTTAAAACCATAGCTATGGCATATGCGCTGCATAAACGCCACTAATTAAAAAAAATAATATCTTTTACAATTGTAAATTTTATGGCACTACGAGCATACCCTGGAGATTTTATAAAGTAGTTTGTTCGTAGGTACTTGTAAATAATCAAATTGTGTTTCAGTAAAATAAAATATTAAATAAAATAGCGTATCAATAATCGTGCCAGTGATAGACAGAAACAAAAATGCAGAACTACCGCGGTCAGAACGCTACGTGCGTACGGGCCTATTGGGAATACACAGTCTATTCTTAACTAGCGGTCGCAGTCGACGGCTTGAAAATCAAACACGAGCGGCGACAGTCTATCGACCGCTGTCGTATGAATGATAACATTTAATCAAATGTGTTTAATTTTCGGGCGATCTACAGCGACTGCGACCACTGGTGGTAGAACCGCTCCGTGTGTAAGCAGCTTTATCATTATAGTATTTCTGCGACTCTGATATCTGTCGTAATGTCGTAACTCGTAAGCTATAATTTCGAAACTAATTTAGTCCATTCAATTCCGACTTAATCTTAAATCGGCAATATACAGATGTTTGAAACAAAACAAATTGAAAAATTTGCATGAACCAGTAATAAATTAACAGATTATTGTCACAATAATAATAATAATAATGTGCTATGGATAGTATTGTCCAAAATTGCTGTGGTAATTTTAACTCTGGTTGCGTTCCACTTGGACGCTTCAAGCACTTTAGCACTTTCGGTGCGTTCCATTTGGCACATTAAAGCGTTCACGCTACAATCGTGACGTTACCGAATCCAAGCTCTACAACATCGTTCCACGCTCATAAACGCTCGAACGAAATAGATAGTGCAGCTTAAGCGTTTATGATATCTTATCAGTTTATCACGCAGTGACAGCAGCTAATCAATTTATTATATAAATTTACAAGTTTTACTAATGTGAGCAAAACATCTGATTGATTAATGTATAATTTAATTATTTCAATACAATATTCATATTTTAAAATGATATATCGACATGTCTGTGACACTTATGAATGTAAATATAATGACACAGCATTGTTGCACACTCATAATAATTAACCCTTCGTTCATTCGAATTATTATTTATGTTACAAAACGTTGGCAAATTAATAATTGAAAAAAGTATTCACGAAAACAAACAAAATTTGTGTACCATGTTATTAATTTCATTTTTAATAACAATAAACACAGTCTAAGCGCTCATGAAAACTCGAAAATTAGTTCGAAAACTCAACTCGAATTAACTCTGAGTAAAGTAGTTAAGAGCAGTAAAGAGTAGTTCTTTTTTTTTCTTTAATTTTTTTTATTTGTTTTGTTTTTATATTAATGATAATCATTAATGTTTAACATTATAAAATAATAAAATACAAAACTTTTACTTAGGTCTTTTACTAATATCGAACACTTTTTCGTAACTTTATTCATATTTAATATCTAATTTAATATTATTCCAAACAGAAAATAAAAAACAAAGAAATTACATAGGAGATAATAAGTTCATAGGATAGTGTATGATAGAATAAAATAATCATTATGTTTTTGTTTACAAATTGCTAATATAATTGATTCAGTTTATTTTATATTAAAATATTATTTTATAGAAGCATCCGTCATTTGATTTTAGCGGGAACATCCTTTTGATAAGTACCAATCTATTAATGCCTTTCATAACAGTTTATCAAAATGTACGGTTAATAATTAATTAATCCTAGTGGTGACACTAAGTAACTTAACGACATCCATTTTAATTTTGTCTTGGAAAAAAAAAGTAAAATATGTGTGATAACAGTCGAACTGGGATCACCATGTATTATAAGCGCCTTGGACTGCTGTAAATTCACATTTTGTATTTTCGTTTTCAGCGTCTACCTATATTCATGATTTTTAATTGACTAGACACCCGAACTAATGAAATTTTAAGTTACAAAATTGTCGCCGGGAATTTAGAATTGTGGAATTGGGTGTAATAAGTTTATTAATTTACATTCTAAAATATGTAATAATAAATATTCACATAATACCTATACAATTACAGTAAACATACTAAATATCCTGAAGGAATTGAAAATAATTAAGAGTGGGTAAGGTTAAGTTAGGTTTATGAGTCAAATCTTTAAATTGTTCGACTTTTATTTATATATAATGCATATTACAAATTAATTTAGATTCACATTAAATATTTAAATAGACTTAAGTCCTAATTCGTAGTATAATAATAATATACAGTCTAAGATTAATTCTTCGAGAAACACGTGCACAATAGTACGACATTATGTTTCAAATCAGTATATAAATGGATAAAACTACATAGGTACTAAGTAGAATTCTTAAAAAAACTCACAAACATAGTTTTGGGGCTTTACAACCCCCAAATCTTCCACATCTAGTTATGCCCCTGAAACTAATACTCAAAATAAAAATAATTAATTTTTATTCTAATAGTATAATATTGAAAAATACAACTAAAAATAACTTAACATAGATAAGTACCTACTATTTTAATGAATACATTAATATGTAACAAGTATTATTAAATACTTTATGAACAGTTTGCAATTTTATTTCCAATTATCAGAATGTATGTTTTTCCCCTAATAGTTTGAAAAATTATCGACAAGAAGTAGAGTTTGATAAGATAATTCAGCCAGTAACCAGTGAAATTTCATTCATGACTTAGTGAGTGTATTTATTTTAATGTTAATAAGGGCACACATTAATAATAATCCATTATTTACATGCTATTATAATTTCATAATATTATCAACATGTATATATAACTAAAATTTAACGATAAACACAAAATTCTGTCCCAATTTATACAGATTTCGGACTGTCAGATTAACATTAACATAAATCTTTGGAAGTAGATTAATAGAATGTTATTATCTGGTGTTGTTAAAAATTGTGTTTCTAGCTAATAAACACATAATGGCTAACTGAATCTTATTTTGATTTTTATTACAAACCATTTACTGCACTATGCCTATTTGTTTATTAATTTAAATTATATTATTTTCAATCATTAGCAAATGTTCAGTGAAATTTTCAATTTATTGTTGATCAACATTCAATAGTTTAGTAATTATTAATTATTATCATCCAAATTCATAGTGCAATATTGTGGTCATTAGATTATTACTTTATATAGTCTATACACTGTCTCGATGTACTGTCGATTCTCACTCGCTCTTGAACCATTCCTCCGGCGAATTCGATTAATCTTGAGCGCATTACGAGGTAAACGGGTAATCCTATGCCTTGACTCAAACGCAAAGTCGGCCTTGTGGGGTGCCACAGCCACATACAAACGGAATCACGACCTCGAAGACTTGTTGATCGAGGTCGGCCTGTACGTCACGAACCATCTGGATTTTCCAGTCGAGGTCGTCCCACTCGGGGTCTAGTCATATCGACGTCACGCTCACGACCCATCCGCGAGAAATCGAGGATTGGGCCGTGTGTAGGGGGGAAGATTATTACGATCACCGAGTGATCACCCTGTCATGGGGTGTTCATGGAACGCGCGGCCGTACTAGCCGATATGTTGAGGCGTTGGAAAAACTCGTGAGTGAGTGGCTCCGAGATCACCTTGCCAGTCATTCCCCCTTGTCGGTCAGGCAATTTGGCTTTATGCCTAAGCGGCATAAAGTGGAAGATGCGATAAACGCACTGCTCGCTACGGTACGTGATTTGACTACCAAGTACGTTGCCGTCGTGTTCCTCGATATTCGGGGGGGTCTTCGATAACGCTTGGTGGCCGTCCGTCCTAGCAACATTGCTTCGACGTAATACCCCGCCAGACCTATACAATTTCGTTAAAGACTTTTTATCGGGTCACCGCGCGGTGATCCGGCATAAGTCGATCGAAGTCGAGAAGGAAATCTCGAAAGGATGTCCCCAGGGGTCGGTGCTTGTACTGATCTTATGGAACCTCATTTTCGATGAGAACTGCAGTTAAAAACTTTATGTCTTCAAAGCTGTTCCCGGAGGCGAGGTAACGTAGGGTTATAGATAAACGTTGACTTACAGACACAGCATCTCGCATAATAATATTCTTTTTCTCGATTTATGAGGTAACCAAAGCGAGGAGTTCATCGAACAATTCACCATTTATGCGCAGAAAATTTCGAAAATCATTTGGCTCACATATTCTCAGTTCATTAAGTAATATTTCATGAGTATACTTTTATCGGTCTAAAAACCATTGTTTGGCCCATTTCCTTGTTTTCTTTTGTTTCTCCTTCTTTTTAACACTTTTTTAATACTTTCGCCCACGGCGATCAAAACGTAGCAAAGTTCAACGTCACTCAACATGTTCAATAGGTATACGAAATATTAGCAAGTACCTTACTAACCTAACTAACCTTAGCTAACAATATCTTGCCAAGCATATTGAACGTCTATGCCCCGTTTGCACAATAGATTGTACAACCATCAATATTACCTCTACACGGCTCAATTTAATTGTACAAACTCCATGGTTGTGCAATAATATTGTGCATCTATGGGCAGCCTCCAATATATTGTACAATATATATTGCACAATAATATTGCACGTCTATGGGCCGCTTAACGGCCTTGACACTTGTCATGACAAAAACATGTTTTAAATAGCTTGTACCCCCTTTTACATAAATTTGAAATAATTCAGTTTTATTTACAATTGTTTAAAAATTGTACTATAATATATATCAGTAGTACAATAATAAGTTGAAATTATTTTTTGACATCATTTTTTTTTAATCCATAAATTGTGATTACTGTTGAAACCCAACCACAAGATGTACATTTTATTCTTGTTTCTTTTCAAAATACGTTCGATAAGAAAGGTGTACGGGAAATTTGTTTTTATAATTTCATGTTTATAAATACACCCTAAAATTGTATTATTTAAACTGTCTTTTAGTTGTAATTGGATTTGTAATTAAAATTATTGTAAACACTTCTGTTGTCTAATGCAGTATATACCCTTAACTGATGCATGCTTACATTTAAATATTCTAACTTTGTCATATTCTTTAAATTTAGGTTTTCTTATTTTCATATTGTTTAACTTAAATAGTACTTTATGTTTTTTTCTAGCTCCGAATGACGTATATTTAATCGTAAAATGTATAGTATTATTGTATTTAGTTATAAGTTTTGTTATTAAATTGTACCAATCAGCTGAATGTGTACTTTCATGACTAAATTTTCTTTTTTTAGTAAAATTAAGCGATTCGTAGATTTGTATTCGTTCGTAAAGAGGTTTAACAATAGATTTCCATTTAAAACTGTTACTGATTTAGGTTTATTAGTTTTGTTAATATGAACTAGTTTGAGATAAGATTCCTAAATAATTTTCGTTATCCGACTTTGTAACTCCTTTTGGTGTTTTTGATATAATAAAAACCAAAAACCGATTTATGGTTATCTACCACTATTACAGAATTACCTATAAATCTACTGGATATTCTCCTATTTACAATTTTTTATAATATAAACCATATGTTTTATCGTATATCCTATTTTCTGAAAGGATGTCTTTTTATTTTTTGTAAGTATATTTTGGTAAACATGTTTCAATAGATATTTAAACTGATGATTTTTAAATATTTATTTTTTATTTAAATAGGTTTTACACTGTTTATTCAACCTACAGTTATATACTTATTTTAAAACTTACCTACTTTATTTTCTTATATTCTTAAATAATTTATTTTCACGTTTGTCTTCAAAGATAAATCAGTGCTACCTGTTTGATACAAAATAATAAATCATAATTATAAACTCAAAATAAATTATCCCATTCAATAAAGTTTTACTAAAAATTTTTTACAATAAGACTCATTTTTTTTTAAGAGCTATATTAATTCAAATTTAATGTTTGAGGTATTAAAATATTATTATAAATTAGTAGACATCTTGTATACTCAATTTACGAAATGTTTTAAATATGTAATAAAAAATACATACTTTAATCTAATTACTTTTATTTATTTATTAATTTGATAGTTAATACAATTGTGTAAATTTTTAAATATTGTTTTACATTTTTTTAAAAAAATATTATGCAAGTTAATAAAAACTTATTAACACAAAAATTATATTAAATAACACGGTTAAATTCCAAAGATGAACAAATTAATGTTTTTTATTTTAATTAGATGAAACTAAAATAAACTAAAAATTATTACCAAAATTGAAAATTTAAAGTTAATTTATATTTTAAAATCTATAACTTTTTTAAGTGATAATATGAATAATATTGTTCCAATAATTATTGAAAATTAATTTCTTCTATTTCGGTGCCGCCGATACATTGCTCATGCTTGAGCTGCTTGTAATTTAGCTGCTGTACCTATCTGTGACCACCTCTAAACTTGTTTTCTACAGTATGATAGCAGGTCTTACAGTATATGTTTCTGCCTCTTCCGTTGTATCTTCTGTTGTAATGATTATATGGTTGCGTCATTTCATTTCTTTGTTGTGGTTCTTGTTGCTGCACTTGGTAGCGCTGGTTTTTATGTTGTGGATATTGTGTTTTTCCTGTGTTCTGCTGCTTATAACTTAGTGGTTGTAGCTGCTTCTGCTGCTGTTCTTGTTGCCTTTGATTTTGTTGCTGCAACTTCTGTGATTGTTGCAAAAGCTGCTGCTGCTGCTGATGTTGCAAAAGCTGCTTTTGCTGCTGTTGCAGGTGTTGCAGAACCTGCTGCTGCTGTTGCAAAACCTGTTGCTGCTGCTGCTGTTGCAAAACCTGTTGCTGCTGCTGCTGTTGCAAAACCTGTTGCTGCTGCTGCTGTGGCTGTTGCAAAACCGGCTGCTGTTGCTGCAGTTGTAAAACCTGATGCTGCTGCAGAACCTGCTGCTGCTGCTGTTGTTGACGCGGTTGTTGCGGAAGCTGCTGTTGCTGCTGCAGTTGTTGAAGCTGTTGCTGCTGCAGTTGTTGAAGCTGTTGCTGCTGCAGTTGTTGAAGCTGTTGCTGCTGCATCTGCTGCATTTGCTGCATTTGCTGTTCTAATGGATAAAGCATTACAACATTTAATGGCTGTTGTTGTAGTTGTTGTGGTTGTTGTTGTAAATTAAATAGCGGTCGTTGTGGATATATGTGTTGTTGTTCCTGCCCCTGTGGATTTATTTGTAACTGTGGACGTAACTGCAATTGTTGAGATGACGGCCACTGTAGAACTGGCTGAAACTGTAAACGTGGCTGCAAATGTACTCGTTGCTGCCACGGTTGTTGTAATGAATACGGCAACGTGAACCACGGATTCATTATAGATTGACAAATATATATGTATTATATTATATCCAACTATTGCTATAAACAATAAACACAAAATTTATAAAAATTTAATTATGAAATGTATTTAAAATTTATAAAATATAGAGGTATATACGCGTATATCTATGTATATTGCACGCTGAGTAGGTATCTGGTATATACAGTATACCTATACATCACTGAAATAATTTATGAGAATATTATATTAAGGACGATAAAAATAAAAAAATAAAAAAATATTTGTTACCCATAAGTACGTTTTAGATTCATAGTATAACGTGGAATCTGTTGGTTTCACTATGATGTCTTTTTAGATTCTGAGTGCAGCGAAGAATGTATTGGTTTTACTAAGATGTTTATTTTTATTTTTTTTTTTTACTGTGTACGAAAGTTCTACCAGAAATCTTGTTCAAATTGGTGCGCAGAACCATTTCTAAAAGGGAATATTGTTCAGATGATACATTTGAGAGGTTATTTTTTAATTTTCCAAACGGTTTTCATAATTTATGAAAAAAACCAGGATAAAACGTAAGAAAAACGAGAAATTTACGAAAATAATGCTTTTATTATTTTTCAATTTTGTTATTTATTTTAATTTAGTTAAAAATATTCTTAGAGACTTGAAATTTAGACAGAACATAGATTTGTCTTTTCTAAACGAGATAAAATGTTTAAAACATTTGAACCATTTTTAGGCTTTTTATAAAAATTTTAATATTTTTATTGAAATTTAATTAAAAATATTCGTATCAACACGATGGGCTTAAAATTTGGACAAACACTTACATTTTCTTTTTCTAGACGGGATAAAATTTTCAAAAAATTTAAACCAATTTGAGGTATTTATAGACATTTGAATTTTGAGAGTTTTGTACGTAATTTTTATTCTGTAGGTTTAAAAAGGATGTTGAAGTCAGAACTAAGCGAACTGACTAAGATTTGAAATTATAACTTTTTGAATTTCTGATATTATAAGTTATGTTTAATAACTCTGTATTGTAATTTGTCGTGATCTAATGGTTATTTCTGCCTATTATCATACTAATGGTTCTGAGTTACCGAAAAATAATTATTTATATTATTTTTCCCCTTTAACTTAAACAAGGAAAAAACAAATGAATTTTGGATGTACTTAGAGACCCAAACCATTGCTCCCTCGGATTATTTTAATCGCAAATATCCCTCGATTTGTTGTACAAACTTTTCTACCGGAAATTTAACTCCAATGTATCAAGTGTAGCTTATTTTCTAAAAGGAAATTTTACCTATAGGGTAATTTAGAAAAATCATTTTTTGATTTTTCAAGCGATTTTCATAATATCTGGGTAAAACCGGGATAAAATGTCGGAAAACAGAAAATATACGAAATATAGGTATTAGTAATAAGTAAGTAGGTATTAAAAATAATAGCACTTTTTCTGAACGGAAATCTTACTGGGAAGGTACTTTAAGGAAATAATTTTTCGATTTTCCCAAGAGTTTTCTCAAAAACCGGGAAAATCGATACAATATTAAAAAAATATTACTAAAGAAAATATATATTGCCTATTTAATTATTTTAATATGACATATGTATATATTGTATAGAAACCATCACTATCAACTGAATTTTTTTTCGTTTTGCTCAATTATTAAAAAAACAATTTTGAAAATCAAAAACTGATTTTCTTAGTTATCAGTTAGATTAAAAATGCAACAAAATATATCTCTTGACGCTTTTTTTTAATAGAACAATATTTTCTTAAATAATATTTGTTTAATGTTGTACCGATTTTCCCAGTTTCCCTACGTTTTCCCGGTTTTCCCATGTTTTATCCCGGTTTTTCACATTTACTGGAAAAACTCCTGAGAAAATTGAAAAATGACTTCTTGAAAATACTTCCCTAGTGAAATTTTCTTTTAGAAACATTTCTATCATTAAAAGTTGGAGAAAAATTGCTGATAGAAAGTTGTGGGCAGAAAATAGAAGGCTGTAATATAATTTAACTAATTAATGCCTAAATTTCTTATATTTTTCCGTTTTTTTTTTTCGGGTTTTCTAATTTCATGAGAAAACTCCTGAGAAAATTGAAAAATGAGGTCTCTAAAATACCTCCCTATGCCGATTTTCTTTCAGAAAAGTTGTTACTCGTAGAAATCCGAGCCAGTCTTTTGGTATAAAAGTTGTGCACAGATGAAAAAATAAAAAAAATAAACATCTTTGTAAAACCTCCACTCAGAATCTAAAATGTAGTAATTTTTTTTTTAGAATGGTTTTAAAATCGAATTCGAAAATCAAAATCGTAGGTCTTTTACAATAATGATTTACTTATTTTACGATAAATGACTTTACTCAGAATCGTTTTTATGTTTGCAATTGATCAGAGTTGCCAACAAATATGATTAAAAAACATGTATTTTACCTTGCCAAACTACAACAGAGGTGCACTCAACAGGGTCATCTCTTTTTTTTCTGATTTTGCTCAATTATTAAAAAAACTAAATAGAAAATTAAAGAGCGACTATTACGGTTAATATTACGTGGTGATATATTACCTTATAATTAGTAACAGTACTAAATTTTTATTTATTAGTACCTGCTTATCTTAAATTGAACGTTTATTTTATCGTAATTGCATGTGCCTATATCAGTATTGCCCAAAAAGTGCGATTTTTGAAAAATAATCTTTACATTTAGAGTTTCTTGACAGTATACACGTTTACAATAAATATTTGTATTCATATTATAGAAAATTATATGATTTAATTTTTTACATATATTTATTTTACATGATGGAAACAATTAGTCAGAGTATGTATTAGTTATTAATAGTTTAATTTACCATTCAATTAATAAAACTTTACTAACGAATAATGAATACATTATTATTTAATATTTAAGAAAGCTATAAGTATTTAAAAAATATTTAATAAATAAAAAAACATATAGTAGAGACCTAATTTTCTTTCACATATTTTAATAAACATATTATTTAGTAAATCCTGAAATATGGTTCACTCAAAGTTAGCTATTATATTTAAATAATTTTTTTTTTTTTTATAGATACATAGTTCACACATTTCACACAATTCAAACATGGCTTTAAAGATTCTTGTTAACTTTTATATAATTATATTAAATAAAAATGAATTATTAATTATTAGATAAATAACTTTTTATCAGTTAGTATTACTTCAACTTTGTAAAAAAAAAAAACAATCATTTCCATTTATAAATATAATATATTATTATTATATAATTATATTGTAATATAGTATATTTACTCCCACTGTGTACTGTATAATTTAATATCATTCAAGTTACTAATAACTCTGATTTAAAAATGTCAAAAAAAAAATTTCATATTTAAATAATTAACAATGTTACACATGTACACATATCTAAACCCACCCTTACATATTATATCATATTCTGTAGTATAACTATAAACATCTTTTGATGGAATATTAAATATATATGACCTATTTAAACCCAAACTAACCAAACTGAACCCAGTTAGAAAAACATAACAAATTTAATGACCATTTTTAGATTCTGAATGGAACAAAGGAGCTTATGATTTTACAAAGATGTTGATTTTATTTTATTTTTTATCTGTGGATAACTTTTCTACCAGAAATCTTGCTCTGATTTAAAATGATAGCACCTTTTCTAAAAATAAATCAGTGTAGGTATCAGTATAGGGAATTTTCTCAACAATTGTGAAAAACCAAAAAAACAAAAAAAAAAAAAAAAAACAGGAAAATGTACATATTAATTAAAATATATAATGGTCTTCGTTTTTCCTATGAACAACTTTTCTACAAGCAATTGTGCTCCAATTTATAATGATTGCAATTTTCTGAAAGGAAATTTGACTAGGAAAGTAGGTTAAGGAGGTCATTTTTCTTTTTTCCCAAGAGTTTTCCCAGCAAGTGTAAAAAACCGGGATAAAACATGACAAAACCGGGAAAAACGTAAAAAAACTGAGAAAATCGATACAACATTAAACAAATTTTATTAAAGCAAATATATCAAGCCTTTTTAATTATTTTAATATAATATGACATACATATTGTTAACAAAGCATCACTATCAACTGAGCTCTGTTCAAAATCGTGAACGATGATTTATCGTTGTGTACAGGTATACATTAAATTATCTATAATAGTGGCTGCACAAATCCCCATTATCCTAAGACGTATTTTTAAGACCTAAAACCGTATACGACTCGGTTCTTGATTTAGGGCACTAGAGAGCACAGAGGCTAAGATCTTTATTATTTTTCATTTTTTTTTATCGTTGATATTATTTAAACTTATTTCTATTATGATAAATTACCATATATTTTTCGTGTTATTCGTTTTAAAATAAATTAATATTTTTAAGAAAATTTCAATAAAATTGTATTCACATAATCGAAAAATAGTAATAAAATTTCGTGATTTTTACGATTTTTTTTTTCTAAATCTTTAAATCATAATATAAAAATATTACCAGGGGCTTCTCGTGCTAAGATGCAATAGTACTATCGCACTTTTTTTAAAAATTTTAAAATAAAATGAAATTTATATATATATATATATATATGTCTTATTATAGTAAATAGTAATCATAATAAATAAATATATTAATATAAATAAAAAATGTACATTTAAAAATGAAAAAATCAATTATTTAATAATTTTGAGGCCTGGAGTATTATGATAAGTTTATTATACGACTGGTTTCGAATTGAAAATTCATTATCAGGTATATCACAGGCAAAATGTAATAAGCAACTAAATATAAAAAATGAAATGAAGGAATACAAAGAAAATAATAATTGATCGTTTTACATAGAATATAGAAATAATTTATTTTAATAGGAGAGATTATTTAAAATTAGTTATTATTAGACACAGATATGTTAAGAAATATAAATTATTTGGTTATAATTTATTATCTAAAATGTATTGAAATAAAATATTATTTTTAAAATCGGTTTGAACATTTAAA